AGAAAAGTAGACAGAAATGTAGAAATGCAGGTAAAGATGCAAGAAAGATAACTTTGCAAGATAAGATTAAAGCAATGTAAAAGACTTTCATTAATAAAAAGAGGTGTTTCCAACGTATATTTCTCAGTTTTATCCTTTCTCACACAGCGGTTACTTGGACAATATTTGAGTGACTAGTACAATAGGTTGAACACACTTAAAAACTACACAGGTTTCCTAATTTATACTAAAAACTAAGTAACCATCGAGGAACGACTCTGCGCTAAGATGAAGACAAGTGTCTTCTGCATGTCCCTCGACCTCTAGCTTCCAGCCACGTTGCTTCTTCTTAGCCGCTAGCGAAACTATCTTTCCCTCCAATAATTCAAATTCAAATGTCCCTCGTATCATGTGTCAAAGCGAGGGTATTTTCTCTTAGTCGAAGGTCATAAGTCCTCTTTAGTCGAAAACCCTGAAAGTGAGCCCTGGTCGAAGGCTCAAATACAACTTAGATTTTTTTATAAGTTATTTCATACGTCGAAACATTCTTCTTGGCTTGGTTTATTCTAGTTTCTTTTATCTAAAAGACCAAATATAGTAAGTGTCGAATTTGGGAGCCAACACATCAACTATTTCACGAAGTGGATCGAGGCTGAGGCTGAAGCCCTGGCCAGAATCACATCACACAACATCCTTCGCTTCTACAAATGAAACGTGCTTGCCCGATTCAGTATACCACAATCGATTGTCACCAACAACAGGACGCAGTTCACTGACCAAAGCTTCCAAGAGTTTGTCGCCAAGCTCGACACCGAACAACACTTCACGTCCGTCGAACATCCTCAAACCAACGGGCAAGTCGAGGCCGTGAACAGAGTCATCTTATGAGGGCTCAAGCGCAGATTGGGCGAAGCCAAAAAAGGGTGGGTCAAAGAGTTTCACAATGTCCTATGGGCTTACTGAACGATACAACACTCGACGACTGGCGAAACCCCATTTCAACTAACCTATGGCACCGAAGCTGTAATTCCCGTGGAAATCATGGAGCCATTCAGGAAAACTGAAGTCTCTTTAGGCGAGGAACTAAATGACGAGGCCCTAAGGGAAGAGCTCGACCTGGTCAAAGAAATTCGATTAGGAGCGACTCTTCGCGAAGCCACACTGAAACAACAAATAGCCCTGCATCATGACACCAAAGTCATAAAATGTGGATTCCAGGTTGGTAGCCTAGACTTGCAAAGAAATCAGAAAGATTCTCGTAAAGGAAAGCTGACCGTCAACTGGGAAGGACCATACCACGTTCGCAGGGAAACGAGAACTAGAGCATACCACCTCGAACTCCTAAGTGGAGAACCACTATCTCGACCATGGAACACTACAAAGCTGAAACAATATTACAACTAAGTCCCTGATGAACGTCGGGGCCCAGCAGTCGATGTACCCTCTTCCACAAAAGATAGGGCTCACTCAACCACAGAAGCATGTTGAGGTACGAACATAGCGTCCAACCAATAACAAAAGGCGAATTTCTTGCTCATTGGTCAAGCAGAACCTTAGCCCGACGGGGACACCTCGACCAAGATCCACCGTCAAAGTACCCAACAGGCAGAACACCCAGCTTGCGATGGGCAGTTCACGCCACAAAGCCAAGACCCCAACCACGATCTTGACCTCGTCCCTACAGACTCCTACTCTGCTTCCTCGGCACATCCTAACATGTGTCGACCACAACTAAGGTCGAGCACAAACCTCCACTCTTCAAAATCCATGTTTCACAAAATACACAAGTCAAACACAACGATAAGAAAATATTTAACAATATAATATAGGCAAAATAAAGGCAATTATAAGACCTGACCACGAAGGCCGATGTTGTCCAAATATTACAAAAATATGGGCATGCAGGCCCAGATATAAATAATTACAAATTACGGACATGCAAGCCCTAAACAAAAACACCAAGCCATCAAGAAAATATTAGTCACTCCTCGGAGTACCCTGTTTGGTCTCTGTCTTGGAAGATTCAGGAGGAGGGACTACCTTACCATCAACCCCCTGAGACAAAACTCCAACACCTTCAGTATTGAGCCTCAGATTCAGCACGACCAGCTGAACCATCGCGATCTCAAAACCGTTGGACAACGCATCCACGCAATCTGACTTAAGGACCTGGATTTGAGAAGCCAATTCTGCACGAGTCTTCAAGCTGGAAATTCCCTCAGGTTCGTCTTTCGCGGGCACCATGGAAGCCTTCAAATCAACGACCTCCTTCTCAAGGTTTTTCCTCTCGAGCAGCAATAGTTCCCTCTCTTCGGAGTCTTTGACCACCTTCTCCTTCTCTCTCGCAAATCATTAGCATGCGCCCAGAACTTTTCCTCACCTCGCTCGAGAACGGCCTTCTAATTTTGAGCTTTTTCCTGAAGAGCCGCTTTCTCCGACTCCAGTTTGTTCACCATGACAAAAGAACTGGGACCCTCATTTGTGAGGACGACAGTCATCTCCGCGACCTTCATCAGACCGACCATGCCTGAGGCCAGATGTTTCCCCATGCCTTCCTCATCGAGCCGCTTGATGACAGCGGATTCACCATCAGGCATAACCAGGGGAAATCAAGGAGAAAGGCTAAAGGCCCGAGCACCTGACCCATCATCAGTCAAATCCACAGGCTCGCCGTCATAGAGACTCCTTTTTTTCCTGACGGTCGCGTATTGAGAGACATCACAAGGCCCCGACGAACCACTAGACCCTTCCCTTACTTGCTCGATAATAGGGTCAAGGCGTGTAGGCTGGTTAGGATTCACTAACCTCTTTATGTTCTTCTTGTCCTGGGTTAACTTCAGCTAACGTTCACGATGCTTGGCCATATTACTTGCATAAACAAAAATAACATGCTCAAGTCAGTACCGCTAGAGGGACATACCCGAAACAAGTTAAAAATAAAATGGAATAAAGTCATACAAACAGACACCAAGAAGAACCACGACGTCCCCGTACATACGACATTCAACAAGCGCCTTAGTGTTGATCGGGCGGACCTCAAACGTAGGTTCACCATCTTCATCAAGAATGTCATATCCCTCCCTCGTCACCCACCTGGAGGGGAAGAAACCATCAACGAACTTGTTAATAATACTGAAGGCCCCCTCATCCTCGGCGTCCATGCTGCCAGCAGGAGTATGATAATGGCCAAGTATGTGGTCGTAGTGAGCCTGACACCAAAGGATAAGGAACTTAGAGAGCCATCTGATCTCTTTGTTCCCCTCTCCGTCATAATAAACCTCCCTGATCTCATCAACGAGAGAAACTGGGTCGAAAATTGCATCCACAACCTCTTGGGACAAAGGCTTCATAATATACTACTTATCTTTAAAGTCACGGGCATAGTCCATATACATCTGAAACAACCTCTTGGATTGCTTGAAAAAACCCCAAATATGTTTTCCTCCCCTAGACTGCCGTTGAAGATGGCAAACCCTGAAGAAAAAAGGAATCATCGTCCCAATCCTCAATTATCAGCAAGTAATCTCGAAAGTCTGTTTAAAAGTAATCGCGTTGGGATGCAGTTAGAAGGGCGACAAGCACAAATGATTAAAGACGTCCATTTGAAAGTCGCTGAAGGGAAGACGAAACCCTATATCCCTGAAGACAATCTCATACATTAGAAAGCGATCTTTCGGAAAAGACGAGCATATTCTGACCGTAGGTGTCAGGCGAAAGATCATGAAATTTCGCCTGAAACCTTCCTAGTCGCCACCATATTTGACACGCTATACGCCCCTTCCATGTATGGCTTGAAGAAAATAAATGAAGAGGTTTTTCCTGTGTTAGGAACCAATTTTGTACTGTTTTTTTGTGTTTGAAGCTATGAATCGTAGGGTCTCTCTTTTATCTATCATAACTTTTGTCCATGTGTATATAAGTTTTTTTCCTATTAGTAGAATGGTACAATCCGTGCTACTATCCTCAAGTGAGAAAGAAAAAGAAAAGTGAGAACATAGTTGGTTATCCTAGAATTATTGTGTGGTTATTTGGAAAAGGAGAGGCACAAAGCTTGATGACCATGTTTCACTAGTCATGCGTAATTTATGTTTGTTTGTTTGATTACATTCTGGCTTTGATTTGGGAACTACGCCAGAAAATCATTCAACAAATCATTTCGTAAATAAGAAATTGCCTATCGGATAATATCAAGCTTGTGTGAAGTAAGTCCAACAACAAGATCTGGATAAGGCATAAGTCTCCACAAATTGGAGTCAACGAGCAGGAAAAACCTCTCAAGGATGACCAAAAAACTATATATATAATCACATAACGAAGGGTGAATTTAGATTGATGGTGGACAAAACTGATTCTATGAGAATTGAATTTGGTAGAATTGATTCTAAATATTAAGATACATTTATGTAAAAAGTGAATTGAATAATAAATCTCTGTGTAAAAACCACTCAAAATCAATTCTGAACAGAAACTATAAATATTCAAACTTTAAGTAAAATTAATTCCGAAGACAAAATCAATTTTATTTTTGATAATCCAAACACCACAAAATCGTCCAAAATCAATTCTACACCTCTAGAATTGAATTGATTCCGGGTCTTCTAAAAATCAATCCAAACATACTAGAAGAAGATCAGTCTAATAGCAACATGTTAAGGGATAGTGCGATGACTGACACTACATTGTACATCAGAGGATATTGATGGTAAATAAGTTATAAACTGTTTTCCTTAACCATCATTGAAAACTAAATTTAAAAACAGCTTATGGACATGACATAAAGTGTTTCCATTAGCTAAACCAAACAGTCTAACAAGCAGACAAATAAGCTCAAATCATCAAATCCAAACAGACAAATATCCTTACATCTGTTAAATAAAATACACTATATATACATAACTAAGACAACAAATTTGTTTAAGACAGTGAATGAAAATTGTGTATGACAAACAAATTGTAGTATGCATGCAATGAAACGAGGAACCTATGATAAATATATGCGTAACCCCTTACATAAAAGACGATCATCTCAATCTTCTTCTTCTTCTGGGTTCATTTGAAACTTGTCTCGAAACACCATTTCTTCTTCTACTGTTTGATGAAGAAGGGTCTAACGGACTAATCTGTATGTTTCTATCAGTTGTCTGAATTTCTGAACCAATAACAGCAATATTGTCAACACTTCTAGCTGCTGCAGCAGCAGAATTGGCCACATCAACAACATCTTGAGCACGACTCTCTGAGCGGTTTGTAGCAGTAATACTAAACGTTGAACTTCTATTATCAGCACGAGTGTTTAGCTCTCTGCTTCCTCCTATATTGTGACCGTGGATATAAGATTCAAGGTCCTGAACTAATCTTTCTGCAGAATCCATTGCAGAATTTAACGCTGATGAAAGCGATGAAAATGAAGAAGCTCCTTGTTCTAGCAACCTCGAAACCTGATGATTGCCAGCGTGTTGATTAATATCAGTCTGCGTGCGAGAACGAACAAGCGTACCATTATTTCTATCACCTCTGGTATTACTATTAGGGCTTTCTAACTGAGCTTGTTCTCCAAAGCCACCAATCCGGTTATGAAACCGCCGAATGCTTTGGACAATAGACGAAGAAGATGCACCCTGCGTTATCAACTTCTGTCTAATACTCTCAATTCTAGGAGCTTTAGGCCGAGGAGGAACTCTCAAACCGGCCTCTTTCATTTCCATTTCACAATCACCACCAACATTACCATTCCCGTAAATCGGAATAACACCTGATTCAGTAACCTCCCCTTTACAAACAGGACACTCTTTTGCTCTCGAATAAACATACGACAACTGATAGAAACACGGCCAACAAAACAAATGCCCACAACACGTCAAAACAGGATCTCTTGCAACATCCAAACATATATTACAATCATAAAACCCCCCACTACTCTCTTCCACTTTACCATCATCAATCTCCTCCACCCCCAACGCTTTCGCTACCAAATGCGCACTTTTTCTTTTCCCACCTTTCTCAACATCATTCTGCTCCTCCCTTTCTTCTTCATCTCGAACACCATCACCACTTGCCGCATCTCCCCTAAAATTAGTTATCCGAATCGGCGAATTCATCATCCGCCGCGGCAACCCTCGACTCTGCCTCGCTCTCGTAGTAATTTCCTCGAGGTGTCTTATTCGATTCCGAATATTTCCCTCGGCCGCTTCGAGTTCTTCCAATACAGAATCAAATTCAACTACTGAGCTAGTAGTTTGATCCAAAGGCTCCTGATTCAAATCAAGCTCCATATTACACACAACGTTAACTCCTCTTTTTTAGGTTTAAGCCATTAACAACAACATTTCTTAAGTTTCAAAATCCTATTACAAATCAAAACAATTAATTCAATTAAACAATAACATAATCAAAGATCCTCATAATAATTATATAAAAAAAAAACAAATAAATATTAAATTAAATTTCTGATACATATGCACTGAATATTAAACGCAAGAATAAAATTCGTGAGTGAAAAAAAAAACTGAATCGGAACGAAGAACGTGAACTGGAAATTTTTGTGATTACCATGGAAGCGAAATTGAATGAAAGAGGAGTGAGGAATTACCATGGAAGCGATGATGATGATGAATCGGTGATTGTTTGTTGTTTGGGAAAACGGTGGCGATGAGATTTGGTGATTTGGTTGATTGATTTTAGAGAGTCATTGACGGACACAGACTTATAATCTTTTTTTTTCCTTCTAGGGAATTTTGTTTTGGTTTTGTGATATATTGGTATTTTTCTTTTCTTTTTGTAAGAAACAATAATTGTTTTTTTTTTTATTTCGATTAAATTTTCTCTTTTATTTTTCTTTCGAAAAAACATAAAGTAGTGTTTTGTTTCCAAATATGGAAGTATACAATGATTAGAAAGTATGAATTTGTGGTTGGATGGGGTGTGGTTCATGGTTTTTAATGCGGTGAAGAGAGATTAATTTGTTGGGTTAGCATTTGTAGGGTTAGTATTTTGTAGGGTTAACATTTTAACGTTTAAGACAGTAAAAGAGGGAGAAAGGAAATTTGAATAAAGAAGGATTCAAATATCTGAAGAGAAATATGTTTTTCTCTTTAAATTAGGGAGATAGTTGGTAACTGCATGCTCCTTGAGGCGATATTTTATGTTGGACGTCATTACGAAGATCCTGGTCGCCCCTCGAGGCGATATTGTATGGTGAATTTCATTACAAAGATCATGGCCGCCCCTCAAGGTGATATCTTATGTTGTACTTCATTATGAAAGTTTTTGTCGCCCTTCGAGGCGATACATATGCTGAACTTCTCCACGAAGATCCTTGTTGCCCCTAAGAGGTGTGACCTCTATCCAACCTCGAAGACTTGGTTTCAAGTCTTTCTTGAGGGCTCGATAGAAGTCCCGCCTGAAAGGGTAAAGTGCCTCGTCTGAGGGACTCAATGTTTCGTAAGCCAATCTATGTACTGCAATATTTGAGTAACTTAGGTTTCTTATGCTAACTAGACTCTCGCCTAAGGGACTTCGTGTCCCCTCGGGCGAGATTATTTCCAATAAATCATGCTTAAGTGGCGCGACCTCTATCAAACCTTGAAGACTTGGTTTTTATTCTTGTTTGAGAGCTCGATAGAAGTCCTGCCTGAAAGGGTGAAATGCCTCACATGAGAGACTCAGTGTCTCGTCAGCCAAGTTATGCATTGTGATGTCTGAGGAACTTAGATTCCTCGGGTTAACTAAATTTTGCCTGAGGGACTTTGTGTTCCTTTCAGGCGATATTATTTTCAAAAAATCTCGCCTAAGAGGCGCGGCCTATATCAAGCTCCGAAGACTTAGTTTCTAATCTTACTTTAGGGCTCGATAGAAGTCCCGCCTAAAAGGGAAAAATGACTCGTCTGAAGGGCTTAATGCATCATCATCCAGGCAACGCATTATTATGCCTAAAGAGCTTTTACTCCTAAGGTCAACTAAAACATCGCGAGGGGAAGCACCCGTTCTCATGATACTCCCATTAGTCCCAGGTGAAAAATATTTTGCGTTTTGCTGAATGCCTCATGACTGAGGGACTATGTAGTGTTATATTTGAAAAAAGCATTGCCTAGTGCGATGTGTATCACTCCAAAAATAATTAGATTATTTATTTAATTATTTAATTAATTTATGATGAGTATATGTGATGTTTTGATGAATATGATGTGTGATGTGATGTTATGTGTGGTATAGTGGGAATTGAGTGATACTGGGTGTTTTAATAATTTTAGATAATTAGTTTTAATTATTTAGAATTATTATTAATAAAATAAATAGAATAAATGGTGTAGAAGTGTTCAGGGCAAGGTGGTAATATTATGAGGATTAGTGAGGGTAAGATGGGAAGACCATAGAAAGGTTCCAAGGGTTAAACAAGAAAAAGTGAGTGTCAGTGTTCATTCTGTACAATAGTGAAAGAGAAAAGAACGCTGAGGAGAAAACTAGGACACGAGGAAACAAAAGAGGTCATGGTAGAACGCAAAGAGAAATGTCGATCGCTAGGAATCTAAGGTAAAGGGGTGATATTTCATTAAAATTGATGTTAAATTTAGATGTATGTAGGAATTTTGTATTTATGATAAACTAATAGAATACTCGTCCGTCTGCACGGGTAATAGTTTGGATAGATTTAATTTTAAATCAAGAAGTATTAAAAGTAAAATTAAAAAACATATATATAAAAAAATTGTAAATAAAAAAAATAAAACAATTTTATCAAAATAGTTTATTATTTTTAAAATAAAGATATTATTTTAAAATACAATCAAACTTGGATAAATTTTTCAATTTTTTTTAAGAAAAAAACATCAATAAATATGATTATCTACTACACGTTAGCATTGAAAATAACAAAATCCTAAATATCATTGTACTGCTATATAAACATAAGTGAAGATTGAAAACTATTCACACCGTAACTTTTATTATTCCACCCTGTATCAGGAAAATTCATTTCATAACCAGTAAATGTATAGCTGATTGTTAGGTATGTAACTTTTATTATTCAAAACACTCAGCTATATCACCGATGATCATAATTTCTTCTTTTACACATTCAGCATAAACTACAACTCATTAAACATATTGTGTGCAACGTAACAGTTCATCTTCAAATATCAGTTAAATCAATAATTTATCTTTACAAATCATTTCAACAACACATAATAAGTTAACTACATAAGCCAATTGATAAGTCTCAATTACAATATGGGTCAAAATTAACCTTTCTGATTTGACTTTAAATCACGCATGCAGCTGATACAATTATAATATGGATCAAGATTAACTTGAAAGACAGAATACGTGCAACAAAATCCTGTGAACATGTGTTTTTGTAATATTAAAAGTATTGGTGTTAAATAGAAGCTATAGTAGTGCTATATCGTTATATTAGATCGGACTTTTGACAAATCGACATTGTTTCACGATCAGCTATTTAGTATAAAATGTTGTCAAATAGTTTCTATAGCTCCGTTATGATAGTATTCATAGGGTAATCTAAACAGTCGATAATTTTCAGCTCTCTGCGATTGATGCGAGCATATAGACGCGAGCAACTTCAAGAGAAATGGACAAATGAAAACAAGATGTACATAATAAACTGAAACAAACAAGATTTGAGTCAAAAGAAACCAAAATATAACATCATTCAACCTTCAAATAAGTATGCAAGTGAACCTTTAAAGATGTCAATGATTATTGTAATACGGTGGGAGAACTGACTTTTTTGGTTTTATCCAAATGTGCGGATAGCTAGAGTCGCCACCGACTTTTATTTTATTCAATATTTAGGAAAAGTGAAAAGAACAGGATGTAGGATCAAGCACTTACCACTGAGCTAAAAGCAATTGCTTATAGTCAAGATGCAACTTTATTTCCATATAGTACGAGCATTTTCAGGGGCTGCACCTAGTTTACTAAGCGCCCATGGATGGGGTGTTAAGCCCTTCGAATCCCTAAGGTTGACGTTGGATATTTTAATCCAACACAGAAAAGACCTTTGATAGATTTTGAGTTCGGGGGATAAAATATGAAAAGGGAATATGTTAACATCATTTTCATCCGTAGTTATCTACGGGCTCTTAATTACTTAGCTCACTTTTGAAAACTTGCTTTGTATGTGTGATTTGTTTGAAAATATTTTGAAATTTCCAATGTAAGGCTGACTTTGTAATGATTCTTGTATCAGTCCTCAAGAATGTATACATAGTGTTTTTTGAAAATATTTGTTTGAAAGTGTAGTGTGAAAATATTTTGAGAAAAGTTGTGAGCAAGCAATTAAGAGTTTCTTACCCACTAAAGTCTTTCTTACTCTTTTCCTTCTCCTTTAGAGATAGTACTATATATACCATTAGTTGGTAGGTAGCCTTATCTATTGGATGTGAAGGGACATGCGTAGGATCATCGAAGGCAACAAGTAAGGATACTTTAGCAATTCTATCGAAAGGACTGTTATCATATTAATCGTAGGGTCATCGAGGGACTAGATCATCTTTTCGTAGGCAACTTAAGGGACATCGAGGGACTATGACCTTTTGTATTGTAGGGACTATGATGATTTGATCAAAAGTATCCCCGTATTCGAGGGACGTGACCAATATTCATAAGGCAATAAGAGAGGTTAACCTAAAGGTGCAAGTATGTGAAGTGTTTGTTTTCAGTTATTTTATCTTGAGAATTAGGGTTTTCTAGATTCAATTATTAGTCTTGCCATACAAACCCTAGTTACTAGCAGTTAAATATGTACAGAAAAATAAAGTGCGAAATGTAAAGTGCGGAAAATTAAACCTAAGTTATTACATCTTGTGAGCAGTTACATAATAGGAAAAAATGCAAAAAGAATAAATCTAATCTATTACATTAGAAAATGCGACATATACACTTGATCTATGAATGTAAATAAATGGAAGAAAAAAAATAAGAAAATTGAAAATAGAGTGTTTTTGTTTTTACGATTTTTGTGGAAAATAATTTAAGTGATAATAATTAATAACTTAAATTCTAATAGATTTTAAAATTAAAAAAAAAAGCTTGATTAACTAATATCAAGAAAATTAAATATTGTTTAAAAAAACTTAATCCTAATTTATTAATATTAAGGAAAAAAACTAGGTTAGTTTAATAATTGATTAATTTAAAAAAAAATTAGGTTTAGAAAAGGAAAAGAGAAAACGAATTAGGTTAACAAAAATAAGGAAAAAGGATTTGCATGGGATGGATATTGAACTCACGCCCTCCTGCTTCACAACTGTAT